ATCCACTTACAACGTGCTTGATTTTAAGACAAAAGGAGTATTAAAAAAGAATAAAAAACATTTTTCAAGACTAGTAACAGCTGCTACGTTTTAATCCGTTCAATTTTTTTTATCTCCAGCAATTCCGATAAAGTCATTTTCTAAACGTATTTTTCATGATTGGCGACCCGATGAATTCATTTCCTCAAAAATAAGGCGAAAAAGTGCATAACTATTCGAAAAATATCCCTAATTACAATTTTCTTGCCAGTTACTACAGAAAAGAACTTGAGCGCGGAAAGTAAACATGATTTTGGTGCCAAATAGCTCTAATTAGTTTTATATCCACTCGAAGTGTTTTTAGTGAGCTTTTTCGCACAATTACTCTGGCATTATATTTTTCTGGCCGCAGTGTGTTGATACACTGTATTTTTGTTCCAGAAAATGTACAGATTCTAAGAAAAGAATATCTGTTTTGCGTTTGGATNGTGCTCGAAACAGAGTATGAATTTGTGTTTTGAAGCTATACACATTGCTCTGAGAACCAGAACGGAGTTCTTAAAATGCAGTGCGCTTTGCTTACACGGGCGCATGCTGAAATTAGAAACACTGCCCTAGTATTAAATGGTTTTGTTGTTGAAAGGTGAATATGTGTTTTGATTGAAAAAATCATGCTCCATGGAAAGAGGTAGTTTCTAAGGTAAAATGAGTGACGTTTGGGAACAAAACCTATACCAAAGTACGTCCTACTTTTCATATATATTAAAAAACAATTAGTGGTTGATATAGGATCACTTGGCAGAAGTCCACTAAATCTTTACCTTTGGCGTCTTCGGCACTATAGGGAAAAAAATCTCGAGAATTTCTGACTTTTCGTTCGAATTTTCGACGTGATGTTTCGCGGCTGAGGGTGGCGCCACCACATAGCAAAATTAGTGCCTGTATAATTCGGTGAGCACTCTGTTTTGTTTGAATAAGAAGGGGTATATATATATACATATCTTTCACAGAAAGAAATGTATGGTATTTAAAAGTCTGAGTTCTGAGCATGGCATTTTTCTCCTCAAATTTCAATAATATTCTGTGGTTTTATTATTTGAAAGTGTCATGCAAATATTTATCTTCAAAAGTGACGTCGCTGAGCAAATGAGTTCCATGTCGTTTTAACGAAGCATTTTATGGATGCGCATCAACAGAGTATAAAATAAGTTAGATGCATTCTTCCGTTTCAAAATATTTTTGATTAAAAAATTTACCGACTTGACGGATTAAAAAGTTGATTAAAAAATTTTCTCAAGTCAGACGTGACTTGAGTTGACTTGGAAATGAGGCATTTTTGACTTCGCTTGCTCAGCACTGTATGTGAAATCACTCTACTTAGATCTTTAATATCATTTCTTTGCATTAAATATTTGAAAAAATGCACTTTTATAATCATTTAAGAGACAGCCAAAATTAGAAGTTATTCAGAAGATCCGAAAAACCTTTTGCTGAAGTTAAGTCTGATTTGACTTGCCCAGCTCTGGTACCACGTTCATTGAAGCGTATGAAAATACATGTACTCATAAATGAGTCTAATTAAATATTGAATTTTTCTCCATGGGCTGTAGAGATCAAATGGAGAAATCTGTCTGTAATCTACTTGCGGGTACTACCGATATACAGTCCTCAAGGTAGAGCTTTACAAGAATACATAAAAACGGCTAGCTAAGGTTTATAATTACAAAAGGTCATATTGAACAAATTGAGAGGTAGCCGAAATATGATCATCAAGTTTGTACGAAATCACTTTCGATAGGGTTTAATACGAAACCTTTTTCGTTAGTACAAAAATAGAGGTTTTGTAGCTGAACGCCAGAACCCAGGTTCGTACCAAATTTAAAAGCTTATAGAAATGGTTGCAATTCTCTTTACCCTTTTAGGTTTCGTACTGAACTATTTTTTTTGGAGTATATAATAGCAGCTGCTATTATCGTTGTTTATAACGTTTTTTAATTTCTCTTCTCTTTATAGTACAAATAATGGGTCAAGCTGTAAAACACTTTTCTCAACCACAAGAACTAATAGAAGAGGAAAGAAAACAACACCAAGATGATGATCTTACAAAACTACCATCACCTCTTCTTTCTCAACTACCGCGTGAAATACTTCTGTATAACATATTTTCATATTTAACATATTTGGATTTATGTCATCTTTCACAAATTAATAAATATTTTAAAAATCTAATTGAATCAAAAGATGTGGATCATTTACGGCGGCAGGCTAATAAAACAAAAATGTTAGGTATGTGCTTAAGTGTGAATTCCGAGACGTATGCCTCGTTAAAACTACTTACATTGAAAAGCTTTTTTCTGCTCTGTTTCAAAACGTTATTTAGCAGAATCTTATGAAGTAAAATATCTAGATGTTGATCGAATAGTGACGATTGGTGTTAGATCAGGTGAGTGTGTGTATTATCTGCAGCAGCAAACTGCTCATAGTTTCGTTTTTTCGTATCTAAGTATAGATGATTATATTGGGAACGTCCAAGAGAAAATTTATCACTCATTTGGTAATTTAACTGAATTATTACCGAAGAATCAAATTCTACGTTTAAGTGATAATGGTAAACCATTAATTTATAGTGCCAGCTTTCTATCCTATAAAGATAGAATCGATAATAATCAAGCAATAATCACAGTTCAATCAATTAATGCTGATGCTTCTGCTGATAATATACGTAAGTTCGATTTTAATTGGTTTGCTGGTCAGGCTTTGTGATGAGAGCGACATATTTTTTCTATGGGTTAACAAGCGACGGGGATCCTATTGGTAACGAAGATTATCAACCAACTGCTCAATTGGAAAATAAAAAATTAAAATTTCAATGTTTATGTGAAAAACGTCGACGAGAGGTGGATACAGGTTCATGGACATTGGAATGAAATGTAAGAGTAGGTCGTGGTGCAAGAAACAGTTGGCATAAAAATTTATACTCTAAATATATTTATACTCTAAACACCTCGTCCTGGACGAGATGTAATATATTTAGAGTATAAATTCGAGTCGTCCATCAACAGATCTAATAAAAAAGGAAAAGGAAAATCATAAATTATGTAAGGTGAATGGTGTTGCTTCTGAGCCATGTCACAGTGTAATTCTCGAGCTTCATGCATTTGGAGGACTATAATTTTTCCTCAACATAGACTTTGAAATAGAAACGAAACACTGAAGCTACAGATAAAGTTCGATTTATGTTTTTGCTTGGAGGACATCTTTCCAAGGGTTGAGTCTAGAGAAAAAACTGTTGCTGAATCAATGCTCTTTATATTACAAATTATAGATGGCATATTTCGCAGGGAAAATTAAGTATTTACCGTTTGTTATGACGAAGAGGGCATTTTCAAAAATCAAGAGGATGAAACTTATACAACTTTAATCTACTGCACATTGTCTCTCTCTAGACTCAACTTTAGGGAACGCTTTCTTTACGATAGAAAACCGTTGGTTAGACGAAAATTCCTGCATTCGCGTCAGTTTTGATGTGTTATTTCGCCACAAACAAAGCGTTCTAGAAACTTGATTCTAAAGACTACGTTTACGAAAAATTGAATTCTCTACATGTTATCTTCTGGAGTCGACTTTTGAGTACACATCGGCTCGTCCAAGCGTGACGCTGTGACATTTTTGAGACAGTAATTTGAGCTTTTCTCAAAAAGTGTAACAGTTAGAAACTTCGTTCTTGCGCCATTCAACGCAGCTCACCATACTCTACTTTTGGTATAAAAATGAAGGTATGTGGTTAACGACTCGAATTTATATAACCGTTTTTTGGCGCGTGACACTGTGAGAAAAAAGCCAGAATGCGAAGTGCTTCTCATTAAAAGCTAATTTGCTGTGAATTTAGACGAGCTAATAAAAGCGCCTCTAGCAAAGTTTGTAGAGGAGTAAACGAGCTACTGATTGCTGAAAAAGAATCTTTCCAATGAGCTTTCCATCCCTCAATAATTGTGTCCTATCGCCGTGACGCTGTGATACACTTTTTTCCCAACAAAGGTTGGAGCACTAAACATTGCTCAAAGGATTTCATTTTCACATCGGACTTAATTTTAGGCATCTAATATAGACTAACGTGAAAATAAAGCTGAAAAAATGTTTTCACTTTTTTAGAATTGTGTGAGAATCTTAAAACTTAAAATTTTACTAAAAAGCTTGTTTTGAGTCAAAAGTTCAAAAGAAACATACCATCTTGTAGAGAATCGAATTCCCTATCGATTAGTCTGGCTTTCCATTTTTATTAGGAAAACTGTCTAGGTGAGGATATTAAAAATGCAGTTTTCAAAAAATGTAAAACTAGATTTCTGGTGCCACAATCTAACTTTTTAAAAAAAGTAATGTGAAATTCGTAATTTTCAGCACCAAAAACTGCATTTAGTGATATGCTCCCTTCAGTTCTACTTTAAAATAATTTTTTCAAAAACTTGATCAGCGAAGTGTCGAGTTACGTGGACAAGCCAATATCTTCATCGTGAAATGCAGTAAAAAGGTTTTTCGTATGAAGAGCAATATCTTTAATTTTATTTTCAGAAGAATAAACTTTAGTGCATCGAATTTGATACATGCTGTATAGGCTCAACATATATGGATAAGTAAGCATCGAAATAGAAAACGCATATTTAATATCAATAGCTCTACAGTTCTGCTTAGAACTGTTGCACTTTGTTTTTCACTTCTAAACCTCTTCTTTTGCAGATATTTATTTTAATGCTGGTCAATTACAACATAATCTTAACCCTGAAATGATGGATGCGGACAGTCAACGTTTAATGTGCAAAACCAGAACTAGAAATGGCGTTGAATAATCATAGTAGAGAATTATTATCGAAGTATGGACATAAAATTAAATGTATTAAATGTAAATTAAAATTTTGTTGTTATCCATCAACATAATCTTCTTTGTCATCTCTCATTTGCCTCATAATTGGTATGTAAGCTATCTAAGATCGGAACGTATTGAAATAGTTGAAATTTATTGTAAAAAATGTGAACGCTATTCAGTATGGAACAGAGCTGATCACCTGCATGGTAAACTGCCTGCAAACTGCAGGTAGTGCAGGCAGGTTGCAGTTTGCAGGTGAATAAAAAAAATTTCCACTAACGGCCGGCAGATAAAGAAGAATGTTTTTCTGCCTGCACTGCCTGCAGGGGAGAAGATTTTACCTGCATTCCCTGCAGGGAAAGACGTTTTTGTGAGGAGAATGAAAATAGAGAGGAGACGAAGATAAATACTGATCACACTGAAGGTCAGAATGATCTCT